CCAAGGATGGTAGCCTGTACTTCTTGCTGCTGAAGGACCGCAAGACCCGCTACGTGTGGGTGCGGCCGGTCGCCAAGAAGTCGGATGTGTTGCGGGAGTTCGTGCAGTGGCTGGCGGTGGCTGAGAGGCAGACGAAGCGGTCGGTGTTGATGCTGCGCTCTGACCGGGGAGGGGAGTTCCTTAAGAAGCAGTTCACCGACTTCGTGAACGGCAAGGGGATCGTCCACGACCTGACCTGCCCGTACACCCCGCAGCAGAACGGCATGGCGGAGCGGGAGATGAGGACTGTGGTGGAGTCGGTGCGCACGATGCTGCTGCACATGGGCGTGCAGCACCACTGGTGGCACCTAGCTCTGCAGCAGACCGTCTGGGTCCGCAACTGCCTTCAGCGGTCGCGCTGCCGCCGGGGACGACGCCATACCAGCTGCTCACCGGGAAGAAGCCCGACTTGTCGCTGACACGGATGTGGGGCTGCATGGCGCAGTTCTTGGTCCCCGAGCAGCAGCGTGGTGGGAAGCTGCAGCCGAAGGCCCGGTGGGGCCTTCACCTCGGCGTGTCGGAGGAGAGCAAAGGCTGGGAGCTCCTCGACATCGCCAACAACCGGGTGGTCACCACGTCGGACGTGGTGTTCTACGAGAGCATGTCGCTGGAAGTGTGGAAGTCGGCGCACGGGCCGGCGTCAGGACGGATGCCGGTTCCCCCGACAACGGACACCTCGACGGCGACACTGCCTCTGCTTGCCGAGGTCGGTGTGCTTGCTGGTGCAGACGCCGAGGACGTCCCCTGCCCCCCACCTGCCCCTCCCCTTGTTGCCGACTTGCATGGGCTGACCCCGACTTCTGCCTCCGGCGATGAGGGGAGTAGTGGGTCGTCGCCTGTGGCGCCGGCCCCACGCATCGCCGGTGGCCGACGTGATGCTGTGCCAGTCGGCGTAGGAGCGAAGCTGACGCCGACCAGGAGGCAGCAGGTGGTGCCGCCGACTTTGGTGAAGCCGGCGAAGGAGGCAAGCGCAGAACAGCAGTCGACAGGGGAGCAGGCAGCAGCGACGCCGACCAAGGAGCAGTCAGCGACCGGGCAGTCGGCAGGGGAGCCGACCACAGGGGAGAAGTCCGCTGGGACGCCGACTGAGGTGCAGCAGGACGCCGAGGACAGCGACGACGGCGACGATGAAGGGGACGCCGAGGAGGTTCAGCCGGGACCACGGCGTACAGGCCGACTTCGGAGGCCGCCTGACTTCTTCGTCCCCGCAGCCTTCACCACGGTGTACGACGTGGACGGTGATGACCTGCTGTACGACGACGCCGAGGAGGATGAGGAGTTTCCGGAGCTCGACCCCGACATGCAGGCCAACCCCGAACACCGTTGGGACATCTCGACGATGACGGTGAAGGAGGCGTTGGCAAGCTGGAAGGGCCCGACGGTGAAGGCCGCCATGGAAGAGGAGATCCGCAGCCTCATCAACATGGGCACGTGGGAGCTGGTCGAACGCCCGCCGGGAGTGAACATCATGAAGAACCGGTGGGTGTTGACGACGAAGTACCGCATCGACGACACCGTCGAGCGAGAGAAGGCGAGGCTGGTCGTGAAGGGCTTCACGCAGGTGTACGGCACCGACTACGACGAGACGTTTGCGCCGGTGGGCAGCTACGTCACGCTGAGGATCTTCCTCAGCATCGTCGCCGTCCTCAACCTCAACCTGATGCAGCTCGACATGAAGAACGCCTTCCTGCAGAGCAAGCTCGACCGAGTGCTCTACATGTCCCAGCCGGACTACTTCAACGACGGAACCGGCCGGGTGAGCAAGATGCTGAAGAGCCTGTACGGGCTGAAGCAGTCGCCGCTGCTGTGGTACTTGGCGCTCAACGATGTGCTGGTCGGCGCCGGGTGGAAGAAGAGCCAGGTCGACGAGGCTCTGTACTTCAAGGTCGACGACGACGGAGTGGCCTGCTGGGTGCTGGTCTACGTCGACGACCTGCTCGCCGCCAGCAGCAGCGCCGCGATGTTGCAGGAGCTGAAGGCGCTGCTGGAAGCCGCCTTCGAGCTGCGTGAGATCTCGCCGGTGCAGAAATACCTCGGGCTGGAGATTGTCCGCGACAGGTCGGCGGGGAAGCTGTGGCTGCACCAGCAGAGCTACGCCGACAAGCTGCGTAGGCGCTTCATTGACGAGGAGCAGACCTGGCGCACTCCGAAGACGCCGGTCTCGGTCAACGCCTACGCCGAGCTCACCTTCGACGACGAGGAGGCGCAGGAGCGCCAGGAGGAGGAGTACCGGCAGAAGGTCGGCTCGCTGCAGTTTGCGGCGACGACGACGAGGCCGGACATCGCCTTCGCCTGCAGCAAGCTGGGGAGCGGCCTCATGGTGAGGAGCGACCAGCACTGGCGCGAGGTCGACCGCTGCCTCGCCTACCTCGCCAACACGCGTGACACCGCCCTGGAGTTCGGCGGTGGACCTGAGTCGCTGGAGCTGGTCGGCTACGTGGACGCCGACGACGCCGGTGACAAGCAGAGCCGGACGAGCACAGGCGGCTATGTGTTCGTCTACGGAGGGGCCGCAGTCTCCAGGTCGAGCCAGCGCATCAAGTGCGCGACGCTATCGTCGACCGAGTCGGAGTATGTGGCGGCCACTGAAGCTGGCAAGGAGGGACGCCGCCTTCGCTTCCTCAAACCTCCCCCTCACAGCAGCAGAAGTAACAGAGAGAGACAGGGCAGTCAGGGCAGGCACAAGACAGGGTCACGGCTCAGGGCAGGGGTGGCTGGAAACGGAGAGGAGAGAGGAGGGGAGGAGCAGCTGGTGCTGCAAATCCCCTCCTGCCACCCCCTTAACCTCCAAGCTCCCCTCCCCCCCTCCCAACACAACAACAGGTGCGGCAGGGAGAGAGAGGAGGAGGTGGTGGGCTGCGGGCGCTGCAGAACCCCTCCTGCCACCCGCTCACCCTCCACTATCCGCCACCCCATCACCCTCCCCCCCATGCGCTGGCGTTGGCGGAAGTGCTGGCGCTGGGCGCTGGCGCTCGTCGCTCGCGTCCGTGGTGGCGCTCGCGGTAGCGCTAGCGCTGACGCTGGCGCTCACGATCGGCGCTGGCAACGAGATCGTGGGGTCCGCGCGGCTGCTGGTGGCGGCGTGGTGAGGCCGCGATGGGGCGACGAACGGGGACGCTGACGACCAGCGCAAATCGCGCCGCGCTGGTCGTCGCGGCCTGCTTCTCTTTGGTCGCAACGTGACGAACATAGCGCGACCGAGACAGCAGGGGTGACGGGGCGAGCTGTATGCTGGCAAGCGGTGGGCCCATGTCGAGATAACGAAAAGGAGGTCTGCGGGACGGACCTGCTCTAGATTCCATGTCAATAATAGTAGCTTAGGCTAAGAAGTCATGGCTAGGGTTTGGGGTGTTGAGAGTAGCGAGAGAGATGAGTAATTGGCCAAAGAGGGTTCACTAAAGGGCCAAAGGCCCGAGTTATACATGAATCAAAGCAAGGAGAGGTGCACCACCTAACAGGAAAGATAACTACACTAGATTATGCTACAGGCAGTTAATACCTATATATATTATTTGACAAGACTCTACAGTTTCTCATTATTTTCAGCTTGTTGAACGCGCCCTGATTTCCTCTCTCGGCAAGCGCTTTCCAATCCGTTTTCTGCACTTGAAATCTTCTCCGATTTGCTAATTTCCAGTTCGGTCGCCGACTGCTTTTCACGAATTGTGCCTGATCCGCTCGTTGATTGGTGACCTCCTCCTGCCCGCTGACTGGTACGTCAGCCCGTGATTCCACGTCAGCTGCTTCGCCCTTACGTCCCTTCAACGAGTCAACTGCCACGCAGCCGCCCGTCTAGCATGACACGACCGCCAACCGAACCAATCATCACCCCCATAAATGGCCTCCCTTGGGGAAGGGGGTAGTGTAAGGAAAATTCATTTTCCGTATTTTGCACCCTTGCTTACCGTACACGACTGTTCCCACCACTGTACCCCAACAGTAAACCGTTACCACCTCGCGACACTCACCTCGACCACTACTCCTGCCACTGTTCCCATCACACCCCAACCTCACGGCTCGGCTGGTAACCTGCCCTTCGGTCCTCCGCCTCGACAAATCCCAACCTCGGCGACAGGCCCGACGCGCACCTCACATTCGCTTGTTACCGTTACCACGCTAGTTCGCTATTTAAAGCACGCGTCTCATATTTACAAGCGTTTAACACTTGGTTGGTTACGCACGTCCGTGATTGGTTTCAACAGAAATTTACCCCAGCTCGTCACAGATTTCGTCAATCGCAAACCAGTCACGGAGGCTCAAACCCAACCAAGTGTTAAACGGAGAAAATATGAGACGCGAGCAGGGCCCAATATTGGTTTTGGGTCACCCTGACGTATCAGGGTATCTGGCCTCATGTACCCTGACCCTTAGGGTAAATTTTTTCATACACTGCTGGCAACAACCTAAAAGTTCCAGTACACTGATTTAATCAGTGTAACTTTCCTGATACACTGATTTCTATGTTTTTTTTTCCTCGGTATAAAACCACAAGTGAATGTTCTTTTCATTAAAATACCTCCACACATACACCATCTACTCAGTGCTAGGCACACTTCCATCATCTACAAACTGGGTGTCGCTAGCTTTGCTCATGTCTAAGTCCTTGGTGGACCGTCGAAGATTCTCCCATCGGAAAATGGCGACCACCTCGTACCAATCGGTGTCGTATTGGAGCAAGGAACAGGGCATTGGGTACTCCAGGCTGCTATCGCCGATGCTGCCGCGGCCCCAGGTCTTGATGAGGTTCTGTTTGCTAAATCCCCGCTCACACTCAACCGTGCTCAAAGGCAGCACGGCGACAGACTGCCAGATGTGCATGATGTTGGAGAAAGATTTCTGCCAGGCATCGTCGCGTAACATGTTTTCCAGCGCCTGGTGGAAATCCTCGTTGTTGTGATGGGAGAACATTGTGGATGTGAACATCCACAGTTCTTGCCCCGCCCGCTGATAGTTGAAGCCTGTTATGATGGGGGCACGGGGTATACTTGGGCTATGCTCGCAGACACGGGAAGGAAGGGGGAGCATTAGTCGAACAATATAACATCGGGTGCACGTTCACGTGAAAGCAGGAGGCCCAGATAGATAGACAAAAGGCACACACGGATTCACATGCAACGCGGTCAACAGACAAACTCACCTGGCAGTTTGTGGCTGTACAGCTTATGAAGTTGGCCCAACCGCTTCTTGAATGCCTCTACGCACTTGGCATCATCAGGAATGTACAAAGCTGTGCGAAACAGCTTCGTACCTTCCAGCAGGTGCAGGTCGCGCATGCGCCACTCGAGCTCGGCGTCCACAGCCCGTACAAACTTCAGCAATAGCTCGAAGCATGCTGTCACATCTCCATCCGTGTCGTGTCCAGGAAGCGGCCGCTCGTGCAGCGTGTAGACAAAGGAGACGGGACTGCCGTCAGCGTCAACACCTTCCGCCCGCATCTCCCGCTTCTCCAGCGACTGGTGGTTCTTGATAAAGTCCGGCAGTTGCATTTTCTCCCCGGCTCCGAAGTGGCTTTCAGGTTCCTTGTTGAAGTAGCAAGATTTCAGGCGCATCCTTGTCTGCTGCACGATGTGTGCCACGAGGGTGACGTCAATCTGCAATGGGGCAAGACAATACGTTAGCGTAGTATACCATATGGCCGACGCGCATACATGGAAACCGACAACCGTACCTGGCGTTGCTGGAAGCGCTGGTTGAGGTGGTTGAGTTTCCACAACACATCTGCAATGAACCGTAGCAGCCACTGGAACTTAAACAAGGTGACCACCTCGTACATCTCCTTTTTGTACTCCTTCAGCACCATGATTGCTGCAGGGAGTACCTCAAGCAGCCGATTCACCGCCTCTCCCCACGACAGCCACCGGACGGCGTGAATCCCCTGCGCCTCTAGAATCGTCTGACAGAATATTTGCTGCAGGTTCTGGAACTTCTGGTAGTGCACGCTGTTGCGTCCTATGTGCTCGGCGAAGGCACGCACCACATCGTCGACCATGCGTAACTCCGGGACTGCATCCGCAGCATCACGGGCAGCGAGCGCCTCCCTGCACGAACAAATACAGAGGGGGGTTTTAGTTAGTGAACAAGAAGGTGGGGAGGCAAGGCAATTATACTGTGGGTAAACCGCTCACCTATGCGCGGTACAGTGGATTGGGGCGAGGTGGGGAATCCTCATTCGCAGCCTCGCCACAACGTCGTTGTTCTTCCCAACCATGACGTTTGCGCCGTCGGTTGGAATGCCTGAAATCTTCTGTAGATCGACACCGATCCATGTGAGGTACTGCACGACTGCAGAGGTGAGAGAAGCAGCATCAGCGCGGCCGACTGTGATCAATGTTAAAAACTCGGTAACCACCATGGTGTTATTAAAAAATGTTGCGTATATGATGAGATGTTTGCCATGAATGCAGTCTGTGCTTTCGTCGAGAGATATCCCCATCCAAGGGGATTCCAACAGGTGAAGGCATTGAGTCTCTTGGAGATATGTTGTGTGGGCTCTCAAACATTCTTTGAAGCCATAACTGCCAGGGACACACGCGCAACAAATCAGTATTTAACAAAAGCAAGCATCAGGAATACAACACCAAACAAACGCATCGAACTCACTCGGTATAAAATGCGCCGTATCCGCCAGCCGGAGGAAGGTCAGGTAAACCATCCTTAGCCAAAAACCATCAGAGCGGTACGAACATCGCGATGGGCGCGTCTGCCTTGCAGACGAAGAGCGCGATGTGGAGGCACCGTATGATGTGCTTGGTTGAAGCATCGGTTGTCTGCCACCTAGTTAGAGTTGCCTGCTTCGCTTTGGCCGCCTCTGCCAACGCCTCGTTCTTCAGTGCCTGCTTGTGGGCTTGGGAAGCGTAGTGAGAGCGGATGCTCCCTACCTGCAAGTCACGACCTCCCTCTCCCCTCACCCCGAAGGTTGTGTGTGCGCCTGGATCTCCGTGTTTAACGCAAATCGCACACTTCAAAGAGGGCCTACCGTTAGCCATACGGTTGAGGCGCAGCCATGTGAATTTACCTGCCCACTGGGTGTCGAATGTATTTTGAACAACATCGTACTCAGCTTCGGCACTTGCGGTAGCAGGCTTCGGGTCGCCATGAGCGGCAGGACGGGGCGGTGATGTTGCCTTGCGTGGAGCAGGGGCGCCCCAAAGCGTCTGCTGTGTGAACGTTGCACCCACGCGCTGATGTTTCAAAGGCGTGGTGCTTGCTGTTGACGGTGACGCCGCAGTTGCCTTCGACGAGCCTTCGCCACCGCCAGGAACTAGCACCAGCGAGGGGTGTGGCTCGAACGCTGAAGGTGAATTGGCTGGCTCGAACGGGTAAACCGCTCCTACCATACATTCCGGCGAGGCGTCACGCTGTGGTAGCGTGATGGGAATGCTTGTCGCTAAGGTGGGGTAAAACCCCAAGCACGGATAACCTGTTGTTGGAATCACTGAACAGGAATGAATGAACTAGCAATGAAAAGAGTACAAGTACCTAACCCTAGAATTGTGTACCCCCTATAGGCTAACCCACTGTAGCCTAAACTAACACAACATATATAATGTTTGACACACCCCCATAGGCAAAGTGGGGGAGAACTAGGGGTCACAAGGCCAGTCAAGGCAAAGCAAGGCAAAACAAGCTCAGGGTGGATCTCAAGGATACCACACAAATTCCGAGCACAAGCAAGTGGTCACAAGACCAGTTCACATGCAGGTTTATATATAGAGATCACAGTACAACAGACTCAAGAAGTAAGCAAGTGAGGTCCAGTAGGCACAAGGCCTAGAAGAGTGCAAAAGCGCTGATGGTCACAAGGCTGAAGCGCCTTGGTGAACACATCAGCAGTGTTGGCCTCAGAGGCCACGTAACGCAGGCGAAGCTGACCACGCTGCTGCAGCTCTCGAGCGAGGAAGTAACGCAGAGCAATGTGCTTCGTTCTGTGCTCCAGTCTGTGCTCCTCACACAAGGCAATGGCTGCCTTGTTGTCGACGTACAGCACTGGAGGAGAACGAGGCTGCTCTCCAAGGTCGGTCAGCAAGTAGGTGAGCCAGCGTAGCTCCTGGGCCGCCATGGCTATGGCGTAGATCTCAGCCTCACAACTGGAGCTGAGAACAGAAGAAGAGCGAGTAGAACGCCAAGAAACAGAACCAGAGCCAAGACTGAAGGAGTAACCCTGAGATGACCGCTGAGTAGCCTGGTCGTCTGCCCAAGAAGCGTCTGAGTGCCCAGTGAGAACAACTGGGACTCGCCCTCCAAGCACTAGCCCCATGCCCGACGTACTGCACAAGTAGCGCAACACCCTCTTAGCTGCATCCATGTGCTCCTTCCGGTGACGGCCGGGAGCGACATAGCGTGCAAGAATGCTGAGAGGGTATGCAAGGTCTGGTCGAGTGCAGGTCATCAGGTACATGAGGCAACCCACAAGCTCTGGATACGGGCCACTCGGCTCTACGGACTCATCCGAAGGCAGAGCTGAGAGCGAGTGACCGGTAGGCAGAGGAGTGGGCTGAGGCGAGGAGTACGTGAAGCGGAAGCGCTGAAGGACCTGCTGCACCATGTGTGACTGAGTCAAGGTGATGGTGCGGCGTGCTCTGTCCCGGGTGATCCGCAAGCCAAGATAGCTTGTCAGTTCACCCAGGTCTGTGCACGTGTGTCTCTTCTGCGGCTCCGACTTCACGTGGGCGAGTGCCACAGTGTCAGCAGTAGCAAAAACCAAGTCGTCGACGTACACAAGGACGTAGAACGGCGGCAGTGAGGTGTCGGTGCGTAGAAACAGCGACGGGTCAGCAGTAGAAGGCGCGAACCCAAGAGCCGCAAGCGTAGTCCTCAGTGTGTCGTGCCACTCACGAGGCGCCTGGCGGAGACCGTAGACTGGCCGTCGGAGGCTCCACTGGGTACCAGGAGGGAACGACCCAGTGAAGCCAGGTGGACGGCGCAGCCAGATCTCCTCGTGCAGGCTGCCCTGCAGGAAAGCAGTGCTGAAGTCAAGCGAGTGGAGCTCGTAGTCACGCTGAGCGGCGACGTGCAGCAGAACCCGAAGAGTGGTCATCTTCGGGGTCGGGGAGAAGGTCTGGAAGAAGTCAACTCCCTCGCGCTGACTGAAGCCTCGTGCAACGTAACGCGCCTTGAAGACAGGCGGAGAACCCGGCGGCCGCTTCACCCTGAAAATCCACATGCCACTGACGATGTTCGCCCCAGGCGGGGGAACCTCGTCGACGTAGGTGCCTGTGGACTTCCAGGAAGCCATCTCTGTGTCCATGGCTGACTGCCACTGAGAGGAGTAGGGACCGGCCATCGCCTCTGCGTAAGAGCGTGGGGTCGGGATGTCTGGTGCATCCGGGTCTCCCTCAGGGGCAACAAGCATGGACACGAGATGGGGCAAAGCGGCAGCAAAGCACTGGAACTCCTCCTGCCTGTCCTCAAGGACGTCAGTGCCAAGAGCACACTCACCCCCGACGGACGGAGGACAGACAGACTCAGACTCAGCAACTAGGCTAGCAGCGTAGTCTAGACGACAGCGAGCAGCAAAGTCGACAAGCTCAGCAACCAAGGCAGACGCAGCAGCAGACTCAAAGGAAGGGTCAGTGACAACAGTGGCCAGGAGACGCGTGACAGCAGGACTGGTAGCACGAAGAGAGTCTGACCCAGGGTCAGGAAGAGCAGGAAGAGAGGAAGCAGGAGGAGACGGCAGTGGGACACGCTGTGGAGCAGTGGACGGACGAAGCGCCATCCGGTGAGTGCCTGGGACAGCAGGAAGACGCTGACGCTGGACTCGACGACTAGAGAGAGCAGTGCGGACAGGCGACCCAGGACGAGACTCAGGCGACGCAGGACGAGACGCAGGCTCACGCCGCTCAGTAAGACCTCCAGTCGGACCAGTGTAAGGAGCAGGACCAAGGAGAGAGGAGGCAGACGGTAACGCCGACTGCAGCTGGACAGGCTGAGGACACTCTAAGGAGGGAGGAGGAAAAGGAGGAGGAAGCTGACCAAGAACCTGCTGAAGGAGCGGAACAAAGTACGGCTGAGACCGAGCAGCGACACCAGAGCCAGCAGGGACACCCGCACCAGGGTCGGCAGCACCAGCAGCAGCTCCAGCGTCCACGTCCTCAGCACCATCGGTAGCTCCAACGCCCGGGTCCTCAGCACCAGCAGTAGCTCCAACGCCTGGGTCCTCAGCACCAGCAGCAGCTCCAACGCCCGGGTCCTCAGCACCAGCAGCGGCTCCAACGCCCGGGTCCTCAGCACCAGCAGCAGCTCCAACGCCCGGGTCCTCAGCACCAGCAGCGGCTCCAACGCCCGGGTCCTCAGCACCAGCAGCAGCTCCAACGCCCGGGTCCTCAGCACCAGCAGCGGCTCCAACGCCCGGGTCCTCAGCACCAGCAGCAGCTCCAACGCCCGGGTCCTCAGCACCAGCAGCAGCTCCAACGCCCGGGTCCTCAGCACCAGCAGCAGCTCCAACAGCAGCGGGGTTCGTAACACGAGGCACGCCACTCCGAAG